CTTTGAGAGCAATCGAATTCCTTGTAGTAAAAAAGAGCGATAACGAATGTTCGTAACATCAATAAGAGTAAAATACAACGATAAGCATTTTAAGGGTCAAGCAATTGGGTGGGGGTTTTCACGCACATTCACTTGCGTCACGGTACATGTTGTCACGACATTTCCTGTCATGCTGTATTCTGCTCTGGATGTGATAATCAGTATGCTCAGTTATGTTATATTGTTTTAAGATCTGTCGTGGTATGCTGTATTGTGGTATATCTTAGCTTTCCTGTTTTGATCGGCTGTGTTGCATTTTATTCAGCCTGATTGCATGTACACATAGGCGGCGACATACATGTGTGATTGAGCTGCTTGCGCTGTAGTTGAAATGCACGAGCTGGTCTCAGTTTGCGGAATGCGCATTAAAAGCCAGCAGATTCGAGGAAGCGAGGAATGGCACCATGTCGCTCCTCAGTGAGCTGACCAAAGCAGGCATTGGAAACACACAAGAGAGGGCCCCACAAGTCTCTGAGCTTCGAAGCCTCTTCGTTCAGCCCACAGGTGCAGCCTTTCTTCCCAGATGTTTTTCCCTCCGCCTTTCCGAGTCTGGGCTTCGTCCTGAAGGGAGTCTCTTCTGTCCGAAAGAGGTTCAGAAATTTGGACTTGGGATTCATGTGGAGATGGCAGGCCCTGCGTTGGAGCAGGAGTTCTTGCGGCTAAGCAAGGAGGCGCCCTTCGGCTCTGTGGCTCTGCCTCTGCCAGTTTGAATGCCATGTAGTTGAGAAAGGCCGACGAGCGGGAACTGGGATGCCAAGCTACCGGCTGTTCTGATGATCACTTCTCGAACATGGGCACCAAGGCTCAAAGCATCCTTTCGCTCAGTGTAGAAGCAGCGCGCGCAAATTTGTCTCCAGGCTGCCGACTTGAACCGGGACAAAGCTGTGGCGGCACCACCGGCCCCACCACAGGCTCGCAGAGCTCGCAACGCACGCAACGTTTGGTGTTCAATGCTTATCTCGGCTCTGGGGCGCGGTCTATACAGACAGCTTGGCATGGCTCGCGCCGACAGTTATCAAAAGCAGACCAGTTGTTGTTTGTCTCCTTTTCGCCTTCGTCGCCGCGATTAGCTCGTGGAGCCTGGGTGCAGTTGATCGCGACTCCAAACATGTAGGCGCCTGTGGCTGGGACGATGGAGGCGCAGGAAGCAGATGCCGAGACCTTCCTCGGTATTTCGAAGCGGTCCCGAAAGCAGCGCCCGCGAGGCACCTGGGCGCTGAGTGCTGGTGAGAGATATGAGATTGATTGAGCCAGGGACAAAGCCAAGACCGCAGCCGAGCCCGCTACTCTTGAATCTTTGGCCTGAGACTTACTTGGAACAGGCTTGCATGTCACCTACGCCTCTACGCCTCGCGACGCTCGCTCTCAGGTCGGACAGAGCCGTGTTTAGTGTGTTCTCCTTCGGATGGCCCTCGGCGCTGCCATGTGCTGCGGCGGTGGCACCGGACCCGCCCTAAGAGCAGTGCAGGCCACCCAACCACTTGGCGAGCTGCTGAGAGCTCGTGAGGTCTGGGCAGAAGCTGTTCGAAGGTGGGTGCTAAAAGGGTGTCGATGAAGCAGCCCGAATTCAGCCCGATCATTGGCCAAGGTTTGGGGCCGAAGATGAAGGTCTGGAAGCCACGGAAGCCGACAGGATCCGCAAAGGCGCTTGGAGGACCTGGCTGACTCTGCTTTGCCCAGGCCGACTCATATAGACTCCTCTTATAGTCTTCGGGGTTTTTTCAACCTTCTTTGGAGGTGCAGTGGAGGTCGCGAAAGATTTGGAAGACGGCGACCCTTTGTCCGAGAAGCATCTCTTGCGACACTTGGCGCCATGGCTGCAGCATGTGCAGCAGGCAGCTGAGACACAGTCGAAGCGCACAAATCGAGCAGCGAAACGACAGAGGACAAAAGGATCCCCACTTCTGAAATGAAAACCTCGGGGCCCTGAGGCTGAGGCCGGCCCACTGAGAATTAAGGGCTTAAGTCGGCTTAAAGTGGAAGGAGTTCTCAAAAGGTCCGTTCACCGCCTGTGTTTCTGGGGTTCTACCGCTATCATGGTTGAGAGAGGTGAGTGCGCAGAAGAGACTAAGGAAGAGACGAAGAGACCACAGACGTGCAGAACCTGACGACCTTGCAGAGTGTTGTTGCAGAGAGAGAACCTGGCAGCTTCACATGATGTCAATGTCACTCGCAAAAGTATAGAATTGAAAACAGCACCCCTGGCAGAGACACCGAGATACCCCAAAACCTCCCTAGATGCCAGGAGATGCCAGGATTGTTGATTTCTGGCCAAGGTGTGTCCGCCTCGCCCTCGTGACTGTGACCAGTGCATCTCGCTGGACTGGTGCTTTCTTGTCGCTCTTTGGAAAGACGGCAGGTGTGCGAATCGGTCTGTGGTGTCGAGCTGCAGCTTACTGGTAGAGCGTTTCGGATTGGAACGCAGGCGACTGTGGACCGGGAGCCTGACACTGCTCCATGCGTTGCCCTTCGAGGATTGCCTTCTAGACGAAAGCGCAGACTCCCAGCTCAAGCCCGATGCGGCCGAGAGGGAGAGAGGACGAGCCGTAGCCATTTTGGCTCAAG